ACTCGCATCTCGTGGTTGATCTTAATTATACCCCTCTAATGTAAGACAAAAGTCAGTGAATGAGAACACTTTCGTTGTGTTTTTGGCTACGGCCGTGCCCCAGGCCCTGGGCTGAGCGGCCCAGCGGGTGCCTTGTGCTGCCCACACAGCTTCTGGGCACCTTGCCTGGGGAGAGGGGTGCTGTGCGGGGTGCTGGTGCACTGTGCAGTGCAAGGTGTTGGTGCAGGTTGCTGTGCAGGGCACCAGGGCTCCCCCATGCAGCAGCATGTTTTTTTTTCCGACTGGGCTGGATCAATAAAACAGATCGATATCGATTAAAAAAAAAAAAAAAAAAAAGGGAGTGCAGAGGGCAAAATCCCCTGACCCTAGCAGGGCAGTGAGGTGTTGCAAGCCCTGTGCAGAACCGGGAAGCTGGGTTCTGCACTCCTTGCCCCCCCAAAGGTGCTGTTGTGCAAAGTCCCCGATCTCGCCTCCCTGCAGCTCTCCTTTCGTCCCTGTCCCAGGGCCAGGGCTCTGCAGGGAGAGGTCCCATGGGGACCCCAGCATGCTGCCTATAAATATCTCGGGGTGCCGAGGGGTGGCTGGGCCGCAGGCACATCCTGACACTGTGCCTCCTCCTTCAGAGTGACATTTTGTGAAATGCCATGGGGAGGGGGGCTGCTATCTGCAGGCACACGCTCCGGTGACCTTCACAGCTCTGGCCAGGTGCCGCCTTGCTGTATTTGCGCTTATTTATAGCTCTCTCCTCCATCCATCCCCACCTCTGCCCCCTTCCTGGCACCGATGGGGAGCTGCCCACCCCGTGCTGGCACCTCTTATCGGGGGACAGCGAGGGAGCCGGCACATCCCCGTGGGTGACAAGGAGCTGGTGGCAGCTTGGGGACAGGGAGAAGCTGGGTTCGGCACGGGCTGCAGGGTGCACGCCGGGGCATGGCCAGAGCCCCCCTCGCCTCCCTGCCTCCATGCTGGGACCCAGGGCTGCACACCGGAGCATCAGACATCCGTCCTACAAGGGCCATGGCACAAGGGACAGGTAGCCCTGGGACAGGGGGCAGCCCCTTGCTGCCTGCCCAGTTCACCCCAGTGAAACAATCGCACAGTGTCTGCCTCCCCGCTTGTCTGCAATCCCCATTTCAAGCAGTCTGTAATTACAGATTTCCCTGATAAGCCCAGATGGCTGCCTCCAATACCCCTGCCCGAGGATTTTCATTCTTTTTTAGAGACAGGCTCGGGATGAGGGCATGGAGCGGGAGACTCCACACCTGCACCTGGCAGGCAGCGGGGCCAGCACTCCCTGAGAGTTCTCCGCATTTTCTCACCAGTTTGAGCTGCAGCCAGGATGCCATGGGCTAATTTGGGGCTCTGCCTCCTGTGCGTGGATGTACATTTATCCCTTAATGCCTTGAGCAGGCACTTAGTGGTGCGGAGGAAGGAGGCTGCTCGTGGGGTGAGTCACGGCCTTGCTCCTCCACGAGGACACGGCCTCTGCCCCTGGCCTCCCCTTGGTCTCCCCAGGCAGCCCCTGTTTTCCTTCCCTTTTTGTTCGCTGGGTGCAGGGAGCAACAAAGTGGCAGGTGAGCGGCAGGCCGATCGCACAGCATCCCAGGGACACGGATACAAGCGGCGGCGCAAATCTGGCCTTACAGGCTTACCTGAGATTAAGTTATTGAGAGGCTGCTGTGTCCCGTCCAGCTGTGTCTCTGTGCTGGCAGCCTTCAGAGGCCACCCCTTGTGCAGCCTCGCTGAGCACAGGAACGGGCTGCCCGCCTGTCCCCTGTGCCTGGAGCTGGGCTGCAGAGCTCTTGGCTGCCTCTTCAAGGGGCTGGAGGCAGGAGCCTTATAGAGAAGGGCAGTTCCTACCCGCTCCATCCCGGGGATGAAGAAAATCTCTGCCACAACCCAGCTGCAGGCACGGTTCACTGGTGCCATGCACAGCAGGCGGGGGACCTGCAGGGCTCACCGCTGTGCATCGAGGGGAGCTGAACTGAAGAGCAGGGTGAGATGAACTCTTCCTCATGCTCATCACCCGCCAGCACCTACGCTGAGCACCGCAGGCACCATCAGACCAAGCCACCTCGCTGGGTGGCTGCTGGGTAGGACTGTCCTGGGGGCACCCTGGCCCGGCCCCAGCCATGCTCACCAGCAGCTGGTTTAGCCCACGGAGCCCAAGTTCACGTTGAAAAAGAGGAAAACATTTCCTGTCTCATGAATCCAATATTTGAATTAGAGCTGGGCTCACTTCTATGCAGAGATAAGACCTACACATGCCCACGCTGGGGTTAGCGTGGCTCCAGCGCAGAGGGAGCTTTCCAGGGTGATATCCCACCCGCTGGCCCCACGGCAGCAGGAATTCATGGCTGAGCTCAACCGGGTCCCCTTGGAGGTGCAATAGAGGTGCTCCTGGGTATGGCCAGCACCACAAGGACACGAAACGAGCACAAATCCACAAAACAAGCAAAAAGCCTTGGTGTGAGTGAGGGTGCTTGCCTGCTTCCTGGGGCAACCCTCAACAGAGGCTTCAGCTCCCGTGTCCCCAGAGGGTGCAGGTGAGGGGCATGGGATCCCCTCGCAGCCCTCCTTGGCAGCAAGGTTGGTTGGAGAAGCTGCAGAGCCCCCGGCAGCTCTGGCCACAGCCGTGCTGCAGCGCGCACAGGCCAGGTGTCTGTGCTGGAGGATGCCTCCGAATTTTCGAGCGTGTCTCCATGGGTATTTGCTGGCTGCACACCAAGAACCCAGGGCTGATCTTCCTACAAACTCCCGAATAAAATTAGAACAAAAGTTCACTCCTCTCCCAAGGCAGCAGGAAGTGGAAAGGGTGGGAAAACGGAGAACTGGAGCAGATGAGTTCTCGTGCCCACAGCAGCCCCACACCGGTACCGCACTGGCAGTGTCAGCATGTGCTCCCCTCCCGTGCTGCTGGCCTGAAATGAATCCTCCCAGCCGAACACGTGGTGTGGGGATGCCCTGCCAGGAAGGTGGATTTTGGGGGTGCTCCTGACCTATGTGAGCCAGGAATCCAGGAGCATCCACGGCCGGGCACTGCCTGGGGACGCCGTGAGCAGCAGGGCACCGTGGGGACACTGACCCCAGTGCCTGCCTCCAGGGTGCCCAGCCAGGGCAGCCCATCAGCATTGGATTGCAGGAGTTTATTTTTACCCAGCCCTGTTGCCAACGGGGACGTGTCACATCTGTGGAGTTGATCAAAAGATGTCCCAAGCACTGCTGTCAGCTGCTCCTTGTGATCTCAGTATCAAGATCTTTTCCCTTGTGGCATATCAAAAGGAGCAGGAGGATTTGACTGCTTTGCTATTTTTAATTGAACACACACACACAGGTTTATATATGTGTATGGCTTTTCTAAAAATAGAACCCTTTGCCTGTGTTCCCATGGGAAGATTTGGGGAGAAGGGGGAGCCAAAGTTGTTGCAGGATGTTTTCTGGGGCGGGTGCAGGAGCTGGGGAAGGAAGGGAGAGAGGAGGCACAGCAGGTAACAAACGTGCCTGGGAGAGCAGAGGGCACCAAATGTGTAGTAGCAGGGCTGGCTGAGCTGGGCTGAAGGGAGATCTGCATCCCCAGACTTGGCAGTGATGAGAACTGGGACCTTTCATCCCACTGCACATGCTCTGAGCACCCGGTGAGCAAAAATTTTGCTGGGAGGGGTTGAAGACCCCAGCCTTGGTGTGCACAGGACCATCCTTTGGGGGGACACCAAGTTCATCATCTATGATCCTCAATTATCCCAAGGGGAAAAAAAAAAAAAAAGACAATAAAGAGAGAAACCCCATCTTTGGCCTTCCTGGAGCTCGGTTTGAGACCCCTTTCCCCCTGCTGTGTGTCAGAGGAGAGCCTGTCAGCACGGCAGAAGTGGAGGCCACCGTGTTTTTCTGCCTCCGCAGCCTCTCACGTGCTCAGATGTTTGCCTGCTCCAAAATCCCTTTGCTGTGTAAATAAACTTGTTTCCCTCATCACCAGAAAACTCCCCCTGGGCAGCCAATACCAGGTGGATCTGCACCAGACCTTTCACCTCTGGGTCTGAGCCCTGTTTTTTTGCTGGGGATGCATCCAGGAGGGAGCTATGTGCTGGGCATGGGGCAGGCAGGGGCTGGCCATGCAGAGAGCTGGGGAGGCAATGAAGTAGCGAGGTGGAAGCAGGGCAGGTCTCAGCTGCTTTTGGTGATTAAATGGGTATTTTTAGCTTGGTTCCTAGAGCTCAGGTCACCCCATGTGCTCCTGGACGTTGATGTTTTTCCATGCCATTTTCTCTTCTATGTGCAAGAAGTGTGGGGGGCTGCAGTGCCTCCGCGGTTCCGTGGGATGTGCGCCTTCCCAAGGATTGTCACCGAGCGTTTCACTGCCATGTAGCAGGGACAGGGATGGGGATGGGAACAGCCAGGCTGAACGGCATGAAGCCACCCCTCAGAGCCTTGCCCCATGCACTGCATCCTGTGTGTGCCCCAAGCCTTTCGCCCCCCTCCATTGCTGCTGATTGCCGGGGCAGCTGCTCGACGAGCCTGGAGGTCAGCCTTGCACCACCGAAGGCAGGAAGGGCTGCTGAGGTTCGTCTGAGGGCACTGGCAGCTGTTTGCTTGCTGGAGCAATGAGGCCCTTCCCATGCAGGCTGCACACGTGCCTAGTGCTGCCGCGAGGGCTCGCTGGTGGCAGCAGGGCAGCTTTCAGTGCCCACCGATGGCAGTGCCGGGCTGCGCAAACCAGTTTGCAAAAAGCATAGTGAGGAGGTGCTCCGTGCTCTCTCAGCTGCTGTGTAATTGCTCTCCCTTTATCCATTTGCCAGTTTTATTCCAAAAAGCTTCGTCTGGGCTCTGAGTAATGTGCTTGAGCAGAGGCAATGGCATGTGGGGACACGGCTCCCCCGGGTCCCAGCCATCCTGCTGTTGTTGCTGCTGGTTGCAGTCTGTCGCTGCCAGCCTGGGTGTCCCCTGCAAAGCCCCACGTGCTGTGGTGTGGCTGTGAGCTCACCTCCTTTTTCCTCTCTCCGCAGTATGAGGTGTCTGGCGAGGAGCACCTCTACTCTGACTTCCCCGAGATCGATTTGTCCCAGCTGGATGCCAGCGACTTGGACTCCGCCAGCTGCTTCAGCGAGTTGCAGTGGTGCGCGGAGCACTCAGAGACCGAGTCCAGCCAGTACAGCACCGATGACTCCGAGCTCTTCCAGGTACCCTGGGGACACAGGGATGTGGGGAGATGTCCCTCTGGCTGCTGGTCCCACTTGCACCTTCCCATGGGCGACTGCCGAGGGCAGAGGCGTGGGGAGTGCAGGGGAGGGGAGGGGAGGTAGGGGAGGTGTGGGGGGACTGCTATTAATATCTCCTCCCCAGCTGATTAGTGCTCCCATTAATTTGCACTGGGTCTAAATGGAGCTAGCGGAGCAAGGCTAATGAAGAGGTGCCGAGCAGAGCAGGGCTGCTGCGCCAGCCCGCCTGTGCTGTGCTCTCCAGCTTCAGCGTCACCTCTATGCACGCCCGGGGAGCGCCCGTGGGTGGGAGTGTCCCCAGCACCCACCTCTGCCTCCCTGGAGTGGATGCACCCTGCGGCAGGGCATGCACTGCAGCAGCTGCAGGCAGGCAGGGGCTGCTGGAGCCCCAGTGGGGCAGGGGTGACCGAACTGCTGAGCACTGGTGCAAAAAAGCAAGCTGCATGATGTCTGATCTCCAACGCTGACATTGACAGCTGTGCCTAAGGAGAGCAAACACTCCCTGCTCTCCAGGGCACAGGGCAGCCCTTGGGTGCGGGAGGAAGAGGAGGAGAGCCAGGAGCAGCAGGGCTGCCTTTCCAAAATCCTCCCTCCTCTTGTGCCATGGCCTCAATGTGCCCCATCCTCCTGGGATGGGGCTGCTGTGCACTGCTGTGCATTGCCAGGTGGTTCCTGCTGGAACAAGGAGGCCAGCTTGGTTGTGGCACGCTGGGGCTCGCTGGTCACCTAGCAGTGGGTTGCTTGTTGGGAAGGAAGAGGATTTGTTCTTAAAGAAAGGAGGAAAAAAAAAAAAAAAGCCCCGGTATTTTCTAAACTGGCCGTAATAACAGCCCTCTGGCTTTTGTGCTGTGCTGCTGCTGTGCTTGAAAATGGTCCAGTCCAGCTGACAGACCTTCATCACGAGATGCATATTTTCCGCTGAACTTCCTGGGGAAAAGATAAACAGAAAAGAAATGCAAAAGGCAGGCCCGTTAGGAGCAGCAGCGTATAATGATACATATCCCACTGAACTTGTGTGCACAGCAGTCTCGTGCCAATAACAGGAGAAAAAGAAATGGAGCCAAAACTGGAGTATCCTACTGCCTTTCCCTGGAGCCTGCTCTAGTAACTGCAAGCAAGGTTAGGGCATGGAACTCAAGATATTTAATTTTTAAACAAGAAGAGAGAAATAAGGGAGGCTGTGTGCAGCCCGCAGTCCTCACCGAGAGCCTGAACTTGTCCTGTGCTAATTTTATAACTGAGAGTAGCCTGCTTCTTGTTGGGTATGGTTTACATTGAGCCTATTGAGGAGGAGGACCAAAATGAGCCAAATCCTGTCTCACTTGGGCCATTCCTCTGCTTCTGCACCCTGTCTGGGGCGTTTGCACCGTATCGCCAGCAGGAAGGGGCCTCGTGCATGGAGCCTGCCTAGGGTCATGCTCCCCATGCCATGGGGGCTGTCGCCCTTGCAGGGGGCTGTGCTCTCTTTTCTTCTCTTTTCCCCTGGGCAGCCCTGGGCTGGGCTCTCCACCTTTCCTTCCCCCCAGCATCTCCTCCAGCTGGCACCGGGGGACTCACAGCCCAAAGCTGGGATCATTTGGTCAAGGAGCCTTTTAATCACCGCCCCCGTTCCCGCTACGCTTTGCTTCTAGGGACAGAAGATGCTCTCTATTATTTTTCCCGTGGGGTTTGCTGGGGTTGTGGGTGGGCAGATAACATCCCTACCCCAGTCATTCTCTCCTGCTCCCATCTCCGTGCCCCAGAGGGGGGTAAATCCCCCCATGGCCCCCTGCCAGCCTGACGTGCCCCCCCAGAGGGAGCAACCACGGGTGCCTCGCTCGGCCTGATTCCCTCTCTTTGCTCCTTTCAGATAATAGACAGCGAGAATGAAGCGCTGCTGGCGGCCCTCACCGAGACTTTGGATGATATTCAGGGAGCTGACGTGGGCCTGGCTGCCTTCCGAGCTCTGGAAGAGGGGGACATGCTCAACCATGCCTACACCTCGCCTGCCCCTTCCCCCAAACCCGCCGCCCCGGTCTTGGGGGGGCCACCCCTGGCCCCCGAGGTTGATGAGCTGTCTCTAGTAAGAACCCACTTCCTACTGTTTAAGGTGGATTTGGATGAGCCCCTGATAAGCCGGCTGCATGGGTATGATAGGAAGCAAAGGTCTGAATTTTTTCATTCTAGGCTTAAAACTCTCTTTAACCGTCAATACCAAAGCATATACTTGTATTGTATACGTATACATGTTCTGCATCATTGCTGTCACCTCCATCGCCATCCTCACGGGAACAAGCTGCTTGCTGCTGTGTGTATATAAATATCTCTATATATACCCAGGGGGCGGGCGCCGCCCGCAGGGGGTGTCACAGTGCAGGGGGTGGCTTTGGCAGGACCCACACACCTCCTTTTCTTGCAAGGCCAGGCTGTGGGGCTGCCCAGGGCTCTCTGTAGTGCATCCCAGCCCCAGCCCCAAACCCCAGGGAAGGTGCCTGCTCCTGCCTGGCTCTGCCTCGGGTCCCCAGGACTGAGCTCCCCGCTGCTGCCCTTGCAGGAGGGTTGACCACCCCCATGCCCCCACATGTGGCCTCCGGCCCCTAGAGCCTTGGTGACCAGAGCATCCCTCTTGGTCCCCTGAGGTGCTGGGGCTCCAGCCCCACTCCTGGTCCTGGCCCGTGCTAAGGGGCAGCATTCATTGCAGCCCTCCGCTGCTCCTGGGAGGTCCCCTGTGGTGGGGGCACCCAGCCCGCCCCCTCCGGGGGCTCATGGTTCCCCCCAGGGCCCCCTTAGCCTTGCCCGGGGTGTTCCCCAAACCGCGATGTGGCAGGGAGGAGTGACATCCAGTGGTGAGAGCGTGCATTTCCACCGCCCCCAGTCCTGCGCACAGGTGGGTGTATATATCACACGCAGTCCAGATGTGTATATACAGGATGTATACGTTGCAGGGAGGGGAAAGGTACTGGTTGCTTCCACTGACAGGAGCTGCATGCCCAAAGCTGCAGGCATCCCGGCCGATGTCTCCTGGCAGCCTCTGACCCAGGAACCGCCCATTCCTATCACCCCTTAAAAACCCCTCAGCCCAACCTGGGGGTCTCCAAACTCACAGGCCAGCACAGGGGGGCCGAGCCCCCAGTCTGTGTCCTCCATGCAGCCCCTCCGCAGTCACCTTGCTGCTGAGCCACTGTCGCCTCTGGTTGATAGCGTGACGGGTGGGACATGAAACCTCATCCTTGCTGGCTGGGAGATATATTTCTTTTATATTTTCCTGACCTTGCTGTCAGAACGGATTGCGCTGTGTGTAACCTGAGGATAACCCCGCTCCGACCACCCTGGGGGACTGCAGGGGAGTCTTTGAATGAAGCAGGCTGGGATGATCCTCAGCCAGCCCTCAGCATGTCCCGCCGGGATTTACATCTGCAAAATGCTTTGCAAGCTAATTAACGAAAGGAGGCCCCTTTCTGGATGTCGCAGCTGAACAAGCCTTGCAGGGCGACCCAAGTAAGCTGCCCAAATCAGTCACGCATAGAAACGTGAATCCTGGCACCTAGGGACAAAGCTGATGGACGTTTGGATGCCACGACAGCTCTCACATGTCTGGTCGGAGCCTGGGGATGGCCCTGGGCAGCACATTCCCCTGCTTCTGCCCCCGTCCCCACCACCCCTGCCCTCTGCAGGGTCCTGGGCAAGGAGGCTGAGCGCTGCTGAGCGCTGACAGGTGCCTGCTCGCAGCCCCAGCGTGAAGCCCCTCTGTGCCCTTTTATCAACCCCCCCGGTTTTTGAATTGGACGCTTAGCAGTGGGCGCAGCCTGCAGCCCCTGGGGTGCAGGCAGCCCCCGGCAGAGGTGTGGTGCTGTCGCTGTGGTGCCGACGCGCTTTCTCGCTGCTTCTCGTTGCAGCTGAAGAAGTTGCTCCTCTCTCCGTCACATGCGCCTCCCAGCTGCGAGGCTCAGAGAGACGGGAGCGCCCGGCGCCCGGGGACCCCTAAGTCCCGACCCTCGAGGCCCTGCACAAAGGTATTTTCAGACCTTTCCGTCTCACCGGGTGCTAGTTCATGAAAGCCGCCCCTCGCACCCCCTTACCTTGATGGTTTACACCCAAATGTGGGATCACTCGGCCTGGGGAGAGATGCCTGTCGCACCGCAGAGCCTGATCCTAAACTAATCTCCTGCATCCCAGCAGAAGTTGCCATCAAAGATTTTTCTACTTGGATAATGGTAATTGTGCAGTGCGTTAGGCCGGGCAAATTAGATTGCCTGGGAACAGATGCAAATCCTTCCTGGGGAGGAGGAGCTGCCTCCTGGCATGCCCGAGGGAAACCTGCTATCCCCAGCAGCCCCATTACCCTGGGCGGCTCTGTCCCCTCAGCACTGGGACTGTGTGTGAGGGCAAGGCGCGGGGCTCACCATCTCCCCTCTTCTCTCCCAAGGTGGAGGCTCCCCGGGACCGGAGGGCGAGCATCCCGCAGGTGCAGAGCCGCAGCTGCACTGAGCTGCACCGGCACCTCACCTCAGCGGCCCCCTGGACACAGACCTCAGCCCTCCGCGCACCAGAGGAGTGTCCCGGTGGCCGCCACCACTCTGCCGCGGGCAACTGCGCCCACCACGAGGACGACAGCGACTCCAGCGAGGACTCGCTGAGCTCTGGTGATGCCGTGACCTCCCCTTCCTCGGCAGAGGATGGCGCCGGCAGCTGGTTCTCCTGCGACGGGGAGATAAACACGGTGGTGGAGCTCATCCGCTACATGCACACCTACTGCCTGCCGCCACGGAAGCTGCCCGCCCACGATGCCACTGACGCCAAGCCCCAGCCCTGCAGCAGCCCCTTCAAGAGAGCCAAACCGGACTGTCCCCCGCAGCCGGGACACCCTGGTGGTGCTGAGAGCAAGCCGGGCTGCGCCTGGCAGGCAGCCGGGGGCTGCAAGAAGCCTGCAGCATCCTTCTCCATCCTGAAGGAGCTGCTGGCACGGGACCTGCTGTGTGATGTGAGCAAGCCCTACCGCCTGGGCAAGCCCGTGTATGCCTCCCTTGCCCAGCTGCCCGCTGCCAGCTGCCCCGCCGTGCTAGTGCAGGAGGGGGTGGACACTGGTGGGACCTGCAAATCCAGAGCCAAAGTGGTGCCAGAGAAAGCGGAGCCAAGGCAGAGCCTCGGGGCCGAGGTGAAGGCTCCACAGGAACCCGGCAGTTTGGAGGAGGAGGCCGGGAAGCACGTGGGCGCCCCAGCTGTGTCCACAGGGAAGGCAGCCCGGCTGCCAGAGAGAACCATTTATGCTGTCCGCCGGTCCAAGAGACTCAATCCCGAGCTGGGCCACTGGCTCTCCTTCCTCGATGAGCCACCGCTCGAGCCCTCTGTGCCCCGGGAAGCCCCAGCCTCCAGGGAGCCCACGCTGTGCCCGTCGCCGGAGGCCTTCTCCACTGAGGAGCCTGTGGCCGAAGTGGAGGTGGGTGGCACGGAGGAGGGAGACGTCGGGAGCATGGCACCGCCACCAGAGCCTCAGCCCCTCGTCCTGGAATCCCCAGGGGGCAGCGAGGAGGGTGAGGGTGCTGAGAGCCAGCGCTGTGCCCCCTGGCAGCAAGCAGGTGAGGGGGCGGGAGGTGACCCCTGGGTGCCACCTGGCTGAGGGGTCCCACGCATGGGGAACCAGCGGCTGTTCTGGTTTTGGGGTGCTGTTCCAATCCACTCCCCCTGTGCCTCCTGCCTCAGTTTCCCCATCCCTGTAGCATGAGGAGGCAGGCAGTGTAACCCAGCAGGACTGGGCTGCCCCCTCCCTCAGGGTTTGCCCTGTGCCTGTACACTGCAGTTCAGCTGTACCGGTGCCCCAGAAGCGCAGCTGCCATCATCCTGTCACTGGCCAGCACTTTGTGCATGCGAGCAGCTCCAAGCTGCCATCCCTCCACTCATGTGGCTGCTGCCACCTCACCGGCAGTGTCCCCAGCCCTGGCTCCTGCTGTCCCCTGCCTGCCTCGTGGGCGCTGGAGGGAGCCCAGCTCCGCTGTAACTCTGCTTCTCCCTGCCTTTCAGAAACACCCCGGTGTCTCATGCTGTCCTTGGCACAAACGTAAGTGCACGTGGGATTTGTGGGGGCTAAATTAATTGTGCTAGGGCTGGAAAGCCGCATCATGCACCTTGCTCACAGGTGCAAGGCGCTGGGAGAGCTCCAGGCCCTTGGTGAGGGTTGGTGCTGGGGTGGACGTGCCCGGCGACCTGACTGAGGCTCATCCCCGTTGTGGTGGTGGCGAGGGCATGCTGGTCGCCCCCATCTCTGTCAGGCACTAGGCATGCTGGGAGGGTTCATTTGTATGCAGCGTTTTTATCAGCTTCCTTTTTTTTAATTTTCTGTGTTCACCTACACACTTTCCCTCCCCTTTCAGTGACCCGACCTTTGGGAAGAGAAACTTTGAGCCAATGCTGACCGTGGAGCTGTGTGGGACAGCAGGTAGGATGGGTTCTTAATGTTCTCATTTTTCCCTGGGATGGGAAATCTTGAAGCCACTGCTTCATCCCATGGCGCAGGAGCACTTTCTGTGTGCTGGTTTCGTGCTGGAGCACCATGAGCAGCTCGCGGGCTGCGTCATGGGCACTGGGGAAAGCGTTTGGGAGTGAGGAGGCTGTTTGGAGGGGCTGCTGCTTGGAGGGAGGCCAGGAGGAAAGGAAGAATTGATGGGTCCCCTTGGGGATGAGGCATCCTTCTTTTTCCCCAAAGTGCCAGTGGGTGGGTAGGGTGGTGGAGGCAGAGCAGCCTCCCTGCCTTGCAGTGTCGGTGCAGCTCAGGCATTGGGATTGGATGAATTGTGATGGAGGGCAGAGCTGACTCCTGTTGTTTGTTCACTTGGGTTTCAGGTCTCACGCCGCCCACCACTCCGCCGTACAAGCCCGCCGAGGAGGACCTGTACAAGCCAGATATCCCCCAGGAGGCAGGCAACGAGGACAGCATGGCCCCCAGCCCTGGGGCCGGGAGCACAGGGGACACAGGAGCCTCCCAGAAAGCCCTGAAGAAGCAGCCCGAGAGGACAGAGCTCTTGGCCCACCTGAGCCGTGCCGCCGAGCAGCCGGGCATGCTCAAGCGGCCCTTCTCGTGCTCCTTTGGGGACCATGATTACTGCCAGGTGCTGAAGCCGGAGGCCACCCTGCAGAGGAAGGTGCTCAAGTCATGGGAGCCCCCAGGCCAGACAGAGATGGAGCACAAGAGGAGGGTCCCGGACACACACTACCAGGGGCTGGACCTCAGCAGCAAGGAGGCGGGTGGCGAGATGGTGTGGAAGGATGGTGTCAAGCAGCTGCGAGACCAGGAGATCAGAGCCAGTTTAACGAAGCACTTTGGCTTCCTGGACAGTGCTCTCGATAGCAAGGATATGGCCTTCTGCAAGACCCCTGAGTATGACACCGTCTTTGATGACAGTTGCAGTGAGAGCGGCTCCCCGGTGGAGGAGGAGGAGGAGGAGGACGAGGAGGAGGAAGAGCACTGTGACAGCCCATTGGATACCAAGCTGTGCTTGCGGAGAAACCCCCTTTCCAGGACCAGTTTGCATTACTGTTCCCGGAGCAGGTCCAGCTCGGGGTCTTCATGCTGCCGGTCCCGATCCCCCACCAGCAGACGCACCTTCAGGTATGGGTGGGCAGCAGAGGGGCTGGCAGCTTGCAGCAGCTCTGGGGGCACACGCTCTTGTAGAAACCTGCTTTTGGCCACTGCTGGGGATGGTCCTGGGCTAGATGGGCCCTTGGCCAGGCACGGCATGGTGGCTGTCCCCTCCCTTGCTGCTGCAGGGAGGTGGTGTGGGAGCCCAGGTGGACCCCGCTCCCAGTTCTGTCCAAAGGCACTGCATGACAGCACTGGCTCTCTCTGGTCTGAGTATAAAGATGCTAATTAGTTAAAGAAAATCCATTGAAATAATTGGTACTACAGCAGCAGCTGCCAAAAACATCAGCCAAGGCCAGAGAAAGCAGCATCTGGGGAAGTAGCTGTGGGTTTCCATCATGCTGGGAGCAACTGACAGGGGCTGGAGCCATTCGTGGGAAGGGCACACATTGGCTAGGGACTGCTTCTGGCATCAAGGAATGGGCTTTCCAGTGTCATAGCAGGTCCAAGAGAGATGGTGTGGCCCAGAGAAGCTCGAAGCTCTTTGCATGACCCCATCTCCCAATATTTGCCAGGCACTTGCCTGCCTCTGCAGAAACCCTCTGCCTCACCTCCCTTTTGCTGGCTGAAGCGTTCCCTGCAGGTTCCCCTTTTGGGGCTGACCTCGTCTCTCGTGCTCCACAGGTGTGAGAATGGTGAACAGTGTCAAGGTGGCAGTGGGAGCCGGGGCCAGCTGGAGAAGAAACGGGAAAAGGCCATCGTAAGTGAGCAGGGAGCAGCGCTGGCCTCGGGGGCGGCAGCCACTCCCTCCCGCCGGCACCTGCATGCGTGCTGGGACAAAGCAACCCGCAGCCCTCAGTAGTGCCCTGCTCCAGAAAAGCAGCAGTGGAGCATTAGCCCTGGCTTCAGCATCCCTTGGTGTGAAGCCAGTGTTAAACAGGGACATGGCTGTGGGAGAGAGCAAAGCTAAAGCAAAGCGGAAGCAATCCGCAATTGGCAATACAGAGTCCTTGGCACAGAAATACCCGGCGCATCCCACGTCGGTCTCCACCGCGGAACTGGCAGCCGGGGCAGCAAGCTGGGGAATCCCTGGAGCTGCGCAGCCACCAGCACTGCTGCAGGGGCAGCACGGGTGCGGCATGTATGGTGGCATGGGGCTGCGTGTGCAGGGAAATAGCTCTTCTCTGCTGCCATGTCCACACATACATGCTCACATCTGCCCATCTGGCATTTTTCACCTGCAGCACAGTTGAATTTGTCCTCCATAAGTTCTCAGGAATGTTTCCTGGTGACTTCATTGGGATAAGGTACAAAGGCTGCAGGGACACAGGAGGCATTGACAGGGGAGGAAGGGGTGTGTGGCTGCTTTAACTTGGCCGTGACAGCAACGGGCTGGGGGCCGGGCAGTGCTGTGCAGCCAGGGCGGAGGGCTCCTGGGCACCCCACGTGTCCAGCACCCATGGGCAGTGCTGGAGGCGTGGGTCGGGAGCCTGAGACCTCTCGCTTGGTGCTGGCAGGGGGAAGGCCGGGTGGTGTACATCAGGAACCTCTCCAGCAACATGAGCTCCAGCGAGCTGAAGAAACGCTTTGAGGTGTTTGGTGAGATCGTGGAGTGCCAGGTCCTGTCCAGGACTAACAGGTGGGTGGCGAGATGCTGGGCTCGTGGGGCGCGTGGTCACCTCTGCCTCAGCTCTAGGAGTGACAGTGACAGGGCAGTGCCGGGGGAGTGAAGCCTGCGCTGCCCCAGCCCACCCCATGGGTGCAGGGGTGGGCGGCAGGATGGTGGCAGGGCACAGGACAGAGCTGTGTGAGCAGGGTTGTGGAGCCTGATGCATCTCTGCTTCTTTCTTTGGTTGCTCAGGGGGGATAAATATGGCTTCATCACCTACCGGTATTCAGAGCACGCTGCCTTATCTCTGAAGAACGGCACCTCACTAAGGAAGAGGAATGAGCCTTCCTTCCAGCTCAGCTCTGGTGGCGTCGGGCACTTCTTCTGGACCAGATACGCTGACTTGGGTAAGAAGGCTTCCTTGGAAGCATCCTGTTTATCAGCATGGCACAGTAACGGTACGTTACACGCGAGGATCTAAAAGCTCTTTTCAGCCTGCAGCAAAAGCCCACCTGCTCTGTATGGCTCACACAGCTGCTCCTAGCTTAGCCCAGCCTAGCTGGATGGCTTTGGGCACTGGGGGGAGAGAAGGAAAGCAGCTTGCGTGAGGATCCAGAGCATGGTGGCTGCGAAGTGTAGCATCCTACCCCAGAGCCTTTGGGTTTCAGCGGAGGCACAGCCCATTGTTTCCCAGCTGCATTTCTGCACGGTGCTGGACGCTTTCCAGCTGAGAACTCCCTTCCCCATGGTTAGAGAAAGCGGTCAACAACAGCTCATTAGCCCAAGAGGTGATCTGGGTTGTTTGCTGCTCCACAGGACAGATTACCCAGCATTGCATGTGTACTTTTCATCCAAAATGAAGACATTGAGATATGCTGCAGTTACAGTAACTCTGGTGTCACGTGGATTTCTGCTAGCACACACTGCTCTCCACAGGTCTGCCTCGCTAACTCAGCCAGGGCTCACTCAACCTTGTCTCTCAGCCTTCGATAATGGACAGGAGTGAAATCCTATGCTGGTCTTGAAAGAGAAATGTGATCGGGGTGTCACTTGGCCCTCATCACTGTGATTGTCAGGTGTTTCATGAACACCACGCTTTCAGTTTTGCACCCTCTGCAGGCGGCAAAGTGGTTCTGTTTTCCCACTTCATGCATAAGATAAGGCAGCCCACTACATGCCCAGAAAATAAAGCCCTAAGTCTTCATTTACCTCTAGGTGCTAAGTCTGACACAAGTACTGCCTGGTCTCTTAGTACCTGACAATATTTCATGTGCACAGAGCAGCGTTCTCTCTGACTTTGGCTGTGGGTGCAAATGCTCATTATCCATGTAGTAAGCTAGGATCTGCCATTCTGGGCTCTGAGGAGGTAAGAACCAGCAAGCACCCTGTGACAAAAATGTCAGTTGTGCAGCACTGTGGGGAAGGCAGAGCTGCAGGGGAACCCCCAGCACTGCTCCCAGCTCCTCACCCCCTGGTTTCTGCGAGAAAACAGTTGCCCCTGACTACATGGCATGGTTCGTTCCTAAATCCTGCTTGCCCTGTGCACAGGTTGAGACAGAGAGCCTACAGGAAGAAGTGAAGTACAGCCATGCCTTTAACAGCTCTATCAAAAATATACACACAAAGGGGTTGAGCTGCTGTTCAATTAGGCGGTCTTATTTCTGGCATTTGCTAGATTTCACAGGCTTTGTGATGGCACTCTTTGTTCAGCTTCTGATGCAAGAGCTGGGGAGCTCTACAGGCAGACGCCCACACTTGCCGCGACCTGGCTGCTCATGTGGGAAGTGCCATGTTTCAGCAGCTCAGAATTCACCTGGGTCTGGCAATTTTTTTGAATGTGGGAGTGGGCGTCTCTGCCCTCTGACCTGAGCGGTGAGAGCCTCTCTGCAAAACAGCAGTTTGCTCTTTTTCAATGGGGAGAAACAGCACGTTTTCCCATTTTATATTGTTCTTGGACATGGGACAACATTGGTGCCTTCCCAGGAGGAGGCCAGGGCAGGCACACAGCTCGGGGAATGCTCGGCAAAGCCATCACCTGCAAGCACTGCTGGGGCGGCCGGGGCTTTGTGACACCGTGCGCAGGCACGGGGAGCACACAGTGCGCCTCGTGCCCCTGCCCGCTTCCTGCCATCCCTCACCCTGCTGTCCTGTGTCCCTGCTGTCCCCAGATTGCAGCGCGGAGGAGTCCTCCCTGGCACCGGTGAAAAGCAAGTACGAGACCATGGATTTTGACAGCTTGCTGCAGGAGGCCCAGCTCAGCCTGCATCGGTAACAGCCTTAACCCTGGAGGAATACCTCAATACCTCAGTCAAGGCACTTCCAATATGTTTACGTTTTCAAAGAAATTATTCAGTCTATGACAAGCGAGAGAGAGCGAGAGAGCGAGAGCACGCACGCGCGAGAGAGAGACTGCTGTCCCTTTCAATCGATGTTTACATTGAACAAAGCTGCTTCTGTCTGTGAGTCCCCATGGTGTTGATGTCTCACTGCCACACATTAGCCTCCCCGCTTCTGACTGGTTGTTTTAGGGTGAGCCTCGAAGCCCCTGCCCCCGCCCCGGCCCCGACCCTGCGCTCCCACCGTAGAGTTGCAGCTGTGTTCACCATAACATTTTTTGTCCGTAGTGTGTGTTGATGAAATTGTTAATTGTGAATAGAATCAGGATTATAAACTAATTTTTAATAGAAAAGGAAGAAAAAAAAGTATATACTTAAAAAAAATGTATTTATGGCTCAGATGTACTGTAATTCAGATTTATTGTACCGCTTCCTTGATTTTTAACTATGCACTGTAATGAGGCACTTGCCACTGAGCAAATGGGGGGTCAGAGCAGAGTCACAGAGCCAGCATTCGGCCACAGAAGCGCCGGCCTCCCCAGCAGTGTGCTGGGGCCCTCTGCACGCGGGGCTCCCCCACTGCTGCCAAAGCCATTTTCCTCACCGGGGGGCGAGCCCCTGGCACCCAGCTGCCGAGCAGGCCCGCTCAGAGGCCCGTGGGCCGCTCCTGCCATGGAGCTGACAGGCGCGAGGGAAAGGGGTGGTGGAAAGAGGCAGCGTTGAACCGCTGCCGGGTGGCCTGCAGCCCTGCTGCCTGCCGGCCATCATCGCTGCGGCCCTGCCCTGATAGGCCTGGGGCGCCTGTGGCGGGAGCGGGGCGTGAGGATCCTTCTTGTCTCTGCCTGTCCTCTGGCCGGTGTCTGATAAGCCATATGCTCACCCAGCACCTCGTTGGCAACGCGGACCCGCACCCCCCTGTCGGCACGGCACACTCTCTGCCGTCGCCTGTGCCCCCTTGGCCCGGCTCATGCCCAGCAGTGTGAAGGAAGCGTCATGGCTTTGCTGTGTGTTTGCGGCTCCCGGCTGGCCTGCCGCCACTCGTGCTGTCCCCCCTGCCTCTTGCCAGGGCCCTCAGGCCTCCTGGCAGTGCTGGATGTAAGGCATGCTCAAGCAGCATCCCCGCCAAATTTGCTTGCAAGCTTGCCCCCTGCCTCTGGGAGAGGTGGGAGGAGGAGAGCCCCCACCCCTGGGTGGAGGAGCCCCAACCAAGAGAAGGCCAGAGGCACCATTTCCCAGAGGGAAAGGAAATCTTGCTGGCTCCTCAAGCCATCTCCATCGTCTCCATTTACTCCCCAGACACAGAGATCACTAGGGATTCAGCCATTGTATGTAGATAGAATATTATAGCCTTAACTATGCCAATAGATAGATTAGAGTCTTCTGGGGTCTCCCCTGTATGTGACTTAGGGATTTTATTCTCATTTCCTCTGTGCGGACACCATTTTATCCTGCAGGGAGTATGACCAAAGCCTCCGAAATTGCATGAGGTTCAGTTCCAGGAATCCACACCCTGCCGACACGGCCCTTGGCTCCATGGGCATGTTTGCACCCCTGACAGCCCACGCTGATCTCTGGCAGGAGAAGGGGTGCCAGCAGCGACACCAGCATCATTACTCGGTTATTTCATGCTGCTCTTGTGGAACCTGTGGTTCCGACAGCAACCGGTGAGGCAGTGGGACAGCCCCGGTGGGTTGAACGGCAGCTCCCAAATTTGCTGCCGGTGCCAGTCGCTGTCCTTGTGCCACTTCGGTCTCAGCCCAGAGCAGTAGCAAGGGTCACTGTCTCTCCTGCTATAGGCTCTCCCCACCTCCACCCCGACTTAGCATATGTGAGTAACCCTGGCCGAGACTGAGCATCTGCTATTGGCAATTGCCTCATTGTAGCTTTGCCTTTTTCTGTCCTAGTATTTCCTCACAACAATGATGTTTACATGTGATTGCTATAGAGCTTACGTAGAATGTATATAGCGACACATTTAGGGTGGGTAGTACTGTCCTGTGCTGTGCTGATGTTTTCCAGAAAACGATCAATCAAAAAAAAAAAGGAAAAAAAAATGCCAAGTGGAATTCTTCCATCTCCTTGCTCAGCCGCGGTGGGACCGAGCCCCAGGCCGCTCCCAGCTGGAGGATGCATCAAGCGTGGTGGAGGGGAAGGGGCAAGCGCAGCGAGGGCTGCCCGAGCCACGAGGAACCCTCTCCCAGGGCAGCCCTCAGGCGCTTCGCCAGCGTTGGTTTCTGTGTACCCAATCTGCAATTGGACGTAGCTTTCCTGTGGCTTCCCGTGCTGGCCAGCAGCCCGCCACCATCGCGGAGCTCTTGTGCAGCGGGTACAGCACTCCCGATCAGGGAGGTCTCGTAATGCACAGAGCCAATCAGTACTGCAGTTTTAGGATAGGAAGAGATGCAATAAGTGGTCTTCGTGTTGCCTGAAGCCTATAAATGGATTTTTGTTGTTGTTTGGGGTTTTCCTTCCCCCCTCCCCTTTAAATTTTGACAGCTCTTTTTCCCTCCTCCCTTGAGAAATGTCTCCTGCACTGATGCAATACGCACAGAGGTGCTCAGGATGTGCCACGCAGGGCCAAGGCACCCTCCCCGTGGCCGCCCGCCCCTCGCTGCAGCAGCAGCAGCAGAGCCTGGAGGGGCACGCTGCCCACCCCTGCCTTTAGGACCTGGTGAGTGCAGAGGGCATATCTCAGCTTAAAGAAGCACAGGTGTGACTGCCTGCTGGGTCCAGAATTGCTCACGCGGGGTTAATGGTGAAAAGTAAGTTCCCACTTGACTTTTATTTTTATTTTTTTAGTAGAAAGCTTTCATTAGCTCACAGTGCTCTAGGGGCAAGGGGGGCTGGGCAGGGGTGGGTGAGAGCCCCCCCTGCCCGGGGGGGCTGGATGCAGGGAAGGGAACCCGGCGCCCCTCACCACTGGGGCCCAGCCCTGCCCACAGGTAGGAGCCCCAGTCCAAGAGGCACTGGGAGCAAAAGGGTATATTATGGTAGGCAATAAGTATGGAGGAGATCTATTTTTTTTAAAAAAGTATATAACTATAGAATGTCCCCAATAGTTGCCTGTAAGTACTGCGGGGAAACGCTAAATATGAAGGGTCTGGTGATAAAATCATAGAATCATAGAAATAGAATCGTAGAATATCCTGAGTTGGAAGGGACCCTTAAGGATCATCAAGTCCAACTCTTGACACCGCACTTAAAAATATTGAAAAGTATTGAAATGCCTGTTCACTTTTTTTGCACAGAGTTCCCCATAAAATCTCATTGTTCATGGTGGGATACCAGGTTTCCTGGCTGGAATCCAGCAGAATCCTGGGGCTCCGTAGGAAAGGAGCAAATGTTTCTGAATGTCTGGGCTGAATGCAGAGGACAATCCCTGGTGTCAGGTTCAATGCTGCCCCAAAGGAAGGGTTTATCCCAACTCCTACCCAGCGCAGCTTGTTGGTCTGCTCGTCTTCCCTATGGAAACAGCAGCTCAGCCACCACATTACAGTCCGAATGTCTGGTTTCAGCACTGGTCCATGCGAAGGAGCATTACAGACCAGCCCTTTTTTTTTTCTTTCTTTTTTTCTTTTTTTTCTTGTATTTTTCTTTCTTTTTGGAGTTACGCTGAATACCGAGCTACGTCATTGTTCATAGAGAGCCCTGAAATCCTTTCTGTTCTATCTTAGCCCGTCCCTGACAATCTGAAGCAATAGAGAACCAAATGCAGCCTTTGGGCCACATTCCTCGTCCCTCCTCGAGCCGCAGCCAGGGATGGCACGGCCAGGGCATTACTGAGCAGAGCCAAACCCAGCGCACACTGACGGGGCAGGGAGTGTGTGTATGCATGTGTGAGAGAGAAAGGTTAAACTGATGCATTTCTTGAGAAAGGTGCAAGAATTTCACCTAAAAAGGGGCACATCTGCTTTGTTATTTATAATAAAAGCTAAACTCTCTTTTTCTTTTCTTTCCTTCTTTTTCTTTTTTCTTTTTTTTTTTTTTTGAATAAAAGGACACTGCTAATAATTACTAGGGGCCAATTCTGCCTCCTTCCTCACGCTGAGTAAGTACTACTAAACTCTGATTTTCTACTTGCAGGGTAAGCAAAAGTGGCAGAATTGATCCCTTTGCGATTAAGAATCTAGTTTTTAATATGTTTTCTTTTTTTTAATTGGTAGCGGTTTTTTATATTTCACTTAATTTTTTTCCCCCATTCCGTTCCATTGTGTCCTTATTTATGTAATATACTTTAATCTTAAAAGATGGCATGAATTCTTATGCCTTTCCTTTATTATTATTGTTATTATTTTTAAAAAGAGATTTATTTCTAGTGTGATTTAACTGTCTACCTTCTAAAACGAGAGAACGTTTTCTTGTATTTTTACATTGTCAGATTCTATAGTTTCATAGATAATTTAACCAAATCGCTCAATGTATTATCTATATCTATCCGGTGGGTATAAAAGTTCTATTTTAAATTGTGTAAATACTTCAGAACTGGCTTCTTTTTCCAGACTCCCCTGCTGTGGAGTTACTTGTTTACATCACAAAGACTGTAGAATCTCTACGCTCATGTACTGTAAATAGTGAAGTGATCTGCCTATAAATAAACAATAACATATATACTATAAACTGGGAGAAAAAAAAAAAAAAAAAAAAAAAAGAGTAACAAGTCTGTGCTGCTGGTGCTTTGGATACCGGTGCAAAGCCGCTCTGGAGGAGGCGTTTTGCACTGCACAATGCGCTTGTGGCCGGCTGGCAGCGGGATGTCAAGGTGCAGCGCAGCGCACAGTGCACTGGCCACAGGGCCACGGTCCCTGCGTGAGCGTTCTGCTAAGGCTGGGCCAGTGCCGGGACAGATGAAAAGCCGAGGAGCTGATGGAAAGCTGTGGCTGGGTGGCCGGGTTTGGGCTGGAGGAGGCTGGGTATGGCTGAGGAGGGGGCACAGGAAGGACCCACTCATGGTCAGCGCTTGTCCTGACCCCAGCGCTCCCAGGGACCAAGGGCTGGTGCTGTTTGTTCTGTAGTATCTTGCAAGCAGACCTAAGGGTTGTGGGGAGCTGCTCGTGAATACATAGCTAAATCCACGACGCAGCTCTGTTAGACCAACAATTAGTTTCATCCATTTGAAAAAAAGATACCAAAAGCCACAATACCAGGGCAGTTCATCATTTGGGCATAACTTTCTGATAAAACAACAACTTTTCACAAGCCTGGGCGCTGCTCTGGTTGTAGATTGCATGCCTGCTCACCCTGGATAAACAGAAGCGGCCTTATCTCCTGGACCAGGCTCAGCATGCTTTACAGTAGGAGAAAAGAAGTCAAGAGCTGGCTTTTGGGTGTAGGGACAACTGCTGCTGCTGCCCTTGGCTGGCCAGCAGTGTGGGCAACAAGGGTAGCGTGGCCATGCCCCCAGCCGCAGGCAGAGCTGGGCTGGGTGAGATGACGGCTGCCCTTTGGTCCAAGAGGGAGCATCTTCAGCATCTTCTAAATGCCTGACCTTCAACAGCATCCCCCTCACAGGGGTCTGTTGGCTCCGTGCCAGCACCTGGAGGATACCCATGTGATGGAGCAAATGTGTGGTTTGAAGCTGGCTGGTCTCAGAAGTGCCAAGGGCAAGGGACACGAGAACACAGGGACTGGGCGCCAGGTGCTCACACCCGAAGTGGAGGAGTGCAGGGATTGCCGTTAGTGGGAAAGCAGCAGCTCAGTGAGAAGAGCAGAGAGCAGCCCCTTCAGCCACCCAGGATGAAGGTGGGGAGGGAACAAACATCGCTGGAGGCTTCACAGTGCTGCCACGCTGCTGGGTAAGCAGGGCAGCTCCATTGTGCTGCCCGGTGCCAGCAGCCTCTGCCTCAGGTCAAGCTGTGCAAGCACAACTGCCCCCTGGTCTCAAAGCACTGGGCCTGGGGTGCTGGGAAGCACCACCGCTGCTGCCTGGGATTCATTTCACTGTCTGACCAGCTGTCCTGGGCTGCCCTTTTAGTTTCAGCATCTATCCGTGCCTCGGGCAGCAGCATCTGGTGCCTAACGTGCCCTGGGCTCTGCGGGGCTGGCTGTGCCAGGATGGGGCTGTCCCAGCTGCAGAGCCCAGTGCGGGGCTGCCACCAGCTCAGAGCTTCCCTGCTCTCCAGTGTCAGCACTAGCACCGCCCAAGGTCCTGGGCAGGAGCTCTGGAAGCTTCATGTAATGTAATGTGCACTTGCTCACTCCCAGCATTTCTCCATCCCAGCTCGCTGGCCAGGTCTGGCAGGTGCCTTTGCAGGGAGGAGTGGGGAAAGGTTTGGTGTCTGCCTCCTGCCAGCTCAGGGACGTCTCCCCACTCGCCCAGCGGTACCGACCTCTCTGCCTGCAGCAGCTGCCTGGCTCGCTTGCAGGCACTTCCTCCCAGCTTGCTGTTGCTCTCCCTGCCCAGCTTTGCTCTCTCCACACAGCTCCTGCTTTCTGTGCTCACTGCACATCTTTAGGAGCTGGTGCAGAGCTTACTCTAGATGCTGCCAGTTTGGGGTTCTACAATCTCTGTTCCCTCTTTCTCTTCTCGTCAGTCCTTGGCTGGATACATTTTATTTTTCCATACATGGTCGGTACCTCCAAGTACCTCTTCAGACTCAGACTTGGATCCCTTGTGTCTCTCAGCAGCCTCCAGCAGGTAAGACATCATTCCCCAACAGATCCCCCTCCTCAACTCCCCACCCCGCTGCCAAGACAGAGTGAGGGTGCCTTGCTCCCTTCATCTGCAGGCTCTGGCTGCCTGCGTTGCACAAGGGGCTGCACTTGGCATGGGCTGAGCAGCCCTTGGTGAGCTTTGTAGCAGGAGCAGACCTGCCCCAGGCAAGCCACAATGGCTGTGCAGCGGCTGCAGTGGGTGAGGTGCAGGTGGAACTCTCCTGCAGACCTTCTGGGGCTCTCTGCATGTCTGAGCATCTCTGCTTCCCTTTCAGTTTGGCAGCCACAAGGACCCCATGTGCACTGAGCACTGAAGAAATTGCAGCTGGGCAGAGAGCTCAGACATGCAGGAAGCTGCCCTTCGTTGGGCACCAGCCTGCAAGGCAGAGGGGAGAGACCTCCCCACCACCAACACCTAAAGGATTCTGTGATCTTATGATCCTATGATTTTAGAGGGAAATTGTGGCACTGTGGCAGGACCTGATCCTGCCAAAAAGGGAGTATACAATGCTCCAGGCTCTCAGTAGTACCCTGAAGCACTGAGGATTCGCTGCCCATGCAGAGCCTGCTGGAGAAGGGCACAGAGAGGGATTAGGTTTACCTGCAGCTTGGCACACTCCTTATCTGCTCATGTTGGTTTTCTATCAGAAGGAGTCTTCACGTCAGTGGGTTTGCAAGATATCAGCATCTGCCTGGAGAGAGGCAGGGAAAGGATTTAGCTCACTACTGCTAAATGGAAAAACTCTAGGGTTAAAGCCCTTTTGTCATCAGCACCATCTCCATTCATCACTGCGAGGCATTTGTTTCAGGTCCAGGCAGTAACTCAGCTGTCCAAAGAGAACAGCAAACTCGTGTGGTCCCCATGTGCTGGGGGCTCTCCATGGGATGCTATGGCAGTGGAGGAAGGGACGTGGCTCAGGAAGCATCCTCAGTCCTTTACACTCATGTCTGGGAAACACAAGTCCAGTTTTCTTCTGCTGGGTTTCTGCAATCAGTCAAATCCAACCATCTCTGAATTTTTATTTCAAAATTATGTGGAAAAATGAACCCAGCTGGCAACTAAGCTATTGCTCTCTTGTGATGTTAGCTGTACCCTGAGTTTAGCCCTCCCTCCAGGAAGAAGGAAGACACGGAAGCTGCCTCTTGTCACAGTTAGGCAGAGCCGGTCACCTCGCTGCACACTGTGAGCTGGTACAAACCCAGGGACACAGCCTTGAGAAAATGAGGGACTTTGTGAAGAGCTGCTGGGTTGCAGTGTTTCAAGCTGGAACATTAAAAATCTAACCTGGGAAATTAACATCAGGCCTTCCCCTGTCAGCAGCAAACTCCCCACAAAGGTGTGGGCTGCAGGTGCAGGAGGAGGCTTCCTACAATATGGTGGGATAAGGCATTGCGGCACCAAAGCACCCTGTACAAAAGCATTTCTCCCGCAGCCAGCCTGGCTCAGGTTTCCACACATGGCTGATCTGGGAGACAGACAAGAAGCAAGGGCCTGGACTGTCATTGCCATGGCCAAGGGGAACAGAGTCCAAAGGGAAGAACTAAAAAGCCTGTTTTGCTGAGGGAGCACACCATTATGCCATGCAGGCTGTCTGCAAATGGCTCAGGAGATAGCAGCAGATTATTTACAGTGGTCATTACCTGCAGCTTCCAGCACCTTCTGGCTTTCGTCTTCAATGAAAGGATTAATAACTTTAATTAATCAAGGGTAAAGAAACAAGACTTCTGGCCAATTCGACTGAAGGCAGCATGCCCAGCAGCGTGCACAGCAGCCGTGGGGAGCCCCAGCTTGTCTCAGCCTGCAGGGTGCAGTGAGAAACCCACAGCAGCCACAAAACACCCACGGGCTCCTGCAGGGAGCAAACCCTAATGTAGCCCTCTTGGGCTCCACACAGAGAAGTACCAGGTCTTTTGGTTCAAGATGCATGCAGCAATGTGGCAGTCAGCTGGTGCCATAGGTACAAAGGGCAGCATTTGCAAATGCAAGTTCTGCCACACTGGAGGTGAGGAAAGGCAACAGAAGGCAGTAGTTTTCTGCATTCAGGGGGAAGTGGACAGCAAGGCCAGGTGAGCACTGAATGCAGTGTTTGTCATGTCTGACACAGCTGGGGAAAAGCGATCAGCAGTACTGCAGGGTGAAACCACAGACCCCATGGAGGAGAGAAAAATAATAGTAAAGGACACACGATGCTTGGCAATAAGAAGAAACAGAACAGAAAATCTCTGAAGCATTAGGTGGGCCAAGGCCATAAGAAAGCATTAGGGAGCAGGCAATGGGCAGCAAGCTAATAAGGAACTTGCCCTCTGTGGTTTGGATTGTGCCCCTCCCCAGCAGGTGCAGCGACAGATAGGACCAAGAAGTGAATATCATCAGGAAGAGGTTTATAAGATAAATTCTTGAAAAATAACTAAAATAACTTTCTCCTCAGGGCATTTAATCAAGCACAAAAACATTGCCTGGGCACTGGCTCAGAAGTCTTGGTTAGAGCAATACATCTTTCACAAGACCTCGGGAATCCAGGAGCAGCCAAGAGCAGCCCACTACCACCAGCCTTTGCAGACACCTCGGACACAAAGGGCTCTGCCAGAAGGGTCTCACAGGGACAGCTTTTGCTAGGACGCTGTTACTGACAGTAGGACAGTAACTGACAGTAGTAGTCAAAGCTTCTCAGAAGACAGGAAGAGGAAAGCCTTGAACTTTTCAGCCCAGCTTATGAGCTACATGGAGAAACAGTACTAGGGAAAGAGGAAGGCAAAACGTGTGACAGAATGGACATTTCTGCAGAAAGACAGCACTCGTGGAGAGGAAGAGAAGCATAAAGTGCAATGTGAAGAGATGGGAGAAAATTCAGGCCACCAAAACGAGAAGGTCATGTGTGAGTTCTGCCTTGAGAAGCCCCTGCCAATGGTGCAGAGCCACCTGAGCTGAGAGACGTCCCTGTGCCAAGCCCACCTGGACAAGCACAGCACAAAGGCTTCCCTGAAAGACCACATCCTGGTGGAGCCCTGTGATGTTGATGTTTGTGCAGAGAGGAGATGCCCCCAGCATGGTAAGCTGCTGGAGTGCTACCATGTGACAGACTCAGTCTGCATTTGCGTACTGTGCTGTGTCACCAGCTCCCACCAGATACACAAGATCATCAGTGTGGAAGAGGCTTTTGGCCAAGTGCAGGTAAGAGGCTACCAGGACAGCTGCTTGGAGATGGGGTTTTAAAACTGTGTTGTCTGTGGCATGGAGAGATGCCTGCAGCACAGGGATGAAACCTCCTCAGCTTCAGGTGTGCAGGCTCAGGTTGGGGTGAAGCCCCCTTCTTGGGATATCTGGCTTTTAGCCCCAGGTCTGGTTTTGCCTCAGACTGACTCTGGGCTTGCCTCTTGGGATGTACAACAAGTGGATATAAACCCTTTCTTCCCATCCTGAGGAGCCAGACTGGTGGAAATGAGTGCTTGTGGCTTTGCTTTTAGTTCTTGTTTCATTTTCAAACAGGAAAATCATCCTGCATTGCATTTGTGCAACAGAAATTAATGGTGGAGTAACAGAAAGGAATTGGCCACCAATAAAAGTAGCTTTCTGTGTGTCTCTCGCACATGAGCAGTTTTTGTTTTGAAAATATCTTTCCCGCACTCAGAATCATGTTTTTTCTTCAGGGACAAAATCTTCCAGTAAAAGCTTTCTGCATTGGTTTGTGTTGAGAGTATGCAGTGAACAAACTTTCAACAGGTTTAGCTTAACCCATTTCCACAAAATTGCTGGTCTGGTGCATGTGTGTCTGTCCTGTCCATCTGGTTATTTTCACAGAATGATTTTCCTAAAATTCTGCAATCAGTGAAAAAATATGAAGCTGCAGTGAATAGAAGCTTAGAAAACCTGCTGAAATAAAAGAAGGAAGTAAAGGTTTGTTCCCTGATTCCATATTACTTAGGGGATGGTTTATGCTTGTAGCTGATTCGATAAGGTTTTCTTTCTGTCTTCCCCTGATCATGGATCCCAATGTTTCTTAGTTCCTGGGTAGTTTCTCAGGTATTTTCAAGGTTTCTTCCTTGTGGGGGTCTGGAGAACAAATTTCTTATCAGACTGAGAAATACATTTTCAGTTTACAAAGGATCTTTAAGCGTGAAAGCTGTTGTTGAGTCCATGCCTCCTGTTTGGTGGTGGTAGTTTTTTTTGTTTTTTTTTTTTGTTTTTGTTTTTGTTTTTTTTTTTTTCCCAGCCTTCTTCCAATTGCAGACCCTAAAATATTTAGGGGAAAGACGGAGACAACTTTATAGTGATTTAAATCCTCTTTAGAGGAATCCTATTAGGTCAGCCTGTGAATCTAAAAACTCTGAAGGAACAGGAAGTTTAATACAGGTCTCCAAATTCTACTTCATTCTGCTTAGGCAGAATTGGTATTTGACTTCTTCCAACAGTGGAAATGATGGGATTGGAAGTTCTGGCCTCAGGCAAGGCAAATGTTCCTTTCTAGTCTGAAGGCAGAACTGTACCCATTGGCAGTGTCCTGTTTGTGGCAGTGTAGCTATTTGCCAACACTGAAGGCAGCTTGGTGGAGGCAGTAAGCAGATAAAATGTTTTTCCTCACCCTTCCTTAAAAGGACAAAAGACAATGGATCCATAGAAAAATACCAGTGCAGAAAAAGGAAAGATATGTATAGGGGAAAGCTTTGAGCAAGCTTCCTGCAAGAACTGCTGCTTTTTCATCTGCAATACAATTCTGGTCCTGCTGAGAGCAGTGAACTTCCCAGCACTGGAAATCCAAGTAGAGAGGAGCTGGGGCTGGTATGTTGCCATGTGGAAAAAGTAGGAATACTTCCTTAAGCACAGAAATGAGCAGGCTCATTTCTGTGTCAGAGTTCTCAAGGAAAATGTAAGATTCTGTCCCTAACAGCTTTGAAAATGTTTTCTTAAAAGGCTGCAGGGAGTTTGCGAAGGAATTGGCTGGAGAATCTCTTTGATGAGATGTATAAGCAGCTGGGTAGCAGAAAAGGAGAGCTCCTCGAAACCCTCAGTCATGGTGAGGAGCAACAGCTTTCTCAAATTCAGGCACACATACAAACATACAAAGAGAGGAAGGATGTGACCAGCCATGATATACAGGGGATGGAGGCTCTGAGAGATCAGAAAGACCCACTACTTTTCACTGAGGTACCTAACAGCCGCTCCCTTCCCAGTGATACTGCAGCTCTTGAGTTGGCCTTTGCTTGCACTATACTAATTCTGCTTTCAAAATATCTTCTGCAGGGTTTGACAGAGATACAAACCAGGTAAGCTCCTCACTGGATGGTCTATTATTGCATTTCACTCTGCTGCTGATGGCTGATCCTCTGTCAGTCCTGGGCTGCTGGCATATTTTGCACACACAGCAGGCCCTGGGCTTGTACTGGTCACCTCTTCAGCACGCTGACTGCACACACAATATGCCTGACTTCATCAGAGATAGCCCCAGAATTTTAATTGAGGTAATGTGTGAACCTCCACCTATCAGCACCTGTTCTTGAGACCAACTCTGAGGGCAATTCTTGAATATTTAGGTCCTTGCATGGTCACGCAAAGGACAGATGAACTTCTATTCTGAGTCATTCTCCACATTGCATTGCCCTCTGCTTGCCTGAGTTGTTGGCTCAGGGATGGGATTGTGAATGGTCTTCCCATGACTTGCTGCTCTTCTGATGTTTTACTGCATATTTTAGGATAAGGAGGCCAGTTCCTGAAGAAGCTGCTGTAAAACTGCCAAAGCCACTTATTGTTTTAGATGAATCAACAAAAGAGGCTATTCTAACACTTTTCCAGCAATTCGTCTTGGTCATGAAGCTCTCACTGGAAGCATCACCTGGTAAGTGACCAGTTCAGTAAGTGAGAGGGAAGATGGAGAAGTCAACAAAACATATTTGAGAAAGGACTGTAACAAAACAGCAATACACTGAATATCTAGAACTGATTAGTAACGCTGTATTTGGCTTTTGCATATATATGCATAAAAGAGGAGCTTGTGCTGAGCCTCAGTGCTTTGATATATGATTTGAATGCACCCTGTTAAAATGGTCTGTAGGTAAAGAGGTGCAGAGGTCCCAGGAATTTTCTGGGAGGATGAATGGAAGAGAATAGCAACACCTCTTCTGTCAGTAGCATCAAAGTAGGTTGTGTAACTTTAATTCAAAGCACAAGGAAAGGTGAGCACTCAGCAGCAGCAGGTGGAGTTTGTCTTAAAATGTAAACAATACATTATTTCTATGTTAATAAGTCTACTCTTCTATGCTGTGTACAGTCTTGGTACTATACACAGTGAGATGCTTGCCTAACTGAATTAAAAAAAAATCTGGTTCCCATGCCATCGTGACCTCATGCTATCCTTGCTGACAGTGAGCCTGCAGTCAGGACCCAGCAACAGCTGGGGTGGAAAGGTTTATGCAGGTTGTGTGTGGTAGTGGGCAATGTGCAGACCTAACCAACCCACCGTGCGTACAGCCACGGCAGATGAAGAAGCACAGCATCGCCACTCCCAGACCGTCACTGTGGTCCCTGTAAGCATTGTCCAGAACTGTTCTGGCTAGAAAGCTATGGATCCATGGTTTTGTAATTGCCTATCCCATTCAAGCAGTTTTAGTTAGTTGCCCAAGTCACTGCCATTGTTTCTGTTCAGGGCAGAAAATGTCACAATATTGAAATGTATTATTTGTTTGAATAAGAACATTTAGTAAATTCCTGAGGGCAGAATTAACTGCTTGTGAAGGTTTATGCTAAGAAGTTTTGAAAGTGGCTTCAAATTGTAATAAGCAAATAACCATTTATAAAATGGCTGTGCTACTGTTCACACAGCTCCTGTGTGTGAAATTTAATCCAGGGAGTTTTTTAAAATGCATAATGAAACTGTGCAGGATAATGATGAAAACTAAAATCTAGGAGTTACTCTAGTTGGAAACAAAAAGCAAAAGATGTGTTAAAATTGTGAAATATCAGCATATCTTGAACTGTGTTTTTCACTTCATAGGAGTAGTTGACAGAGGTGCAGAACATGTTTTCAATTTATATATACTTCTAATAACTTGGATAAGCTCAAGATTTTTTTTCATCAGCAGAAATACTGTATTTTAGAAATACTGTTTTCACTTTTTTTTTTTTTTTTATATAGTTCATAAACATCTGACTTTTGCACCATCTTGCATGGGTATATTCTACATAAGTGAATATGAACTCACTGCAAACCTCTAGATGCAGCAACAAATATCAATGTACAGAGTGAGGAGTCTCCTGCCTGTGCACAGCACCCAGAGCTTCTCGGAGGGCTGGCACTTCTGGGAGGCTGACATCAGCTGTGCAAGGCACTGGAAGCTGGGGGTCACTCATCAATGTTTTCATTGCTACCTGCAAATGTATGGCAATAATCTCAGTGTGTTCCTAGATAATACGAAGATCACAGAAAAGGCTACTACTACAGCTATCAGCACAGTCAGGGTAGAGCTGGACTGCAGAAGAAATGCAGTGTCATTTTATAACATCAAGACTAGAGTCCTTGCTAACAGACATCAGCTCATACAGACAGTAAACATCCCTGCGAACTATCCTGTCCATGCTGGCTTCAGCATCTCTAGCGGCTCCCTGAGACTCCAGTAGAGATGTGGGAGCAGGTCTGTCTTACCTTTTAAGCTTTGTTTCTCTATGTATCAGGGCTGCTGCTGTATGGGCTCTCCTACCTTGGCACAACAGAAACTGGGCTTTGGGCTGGGCCTGTGAGTGGCCAGCCTGTCCCCAAGTTATAATCAGGTTCTAGTCTTCAGCAGCAATGGTCTGAATCGAGAGAGAGAATGAGAAAATGAAACCCTACCATGTTTCTCCTCAGATTTTCAGCATGCTGTGGCTTGCTGCAGGAACTCCTATCTTACTTCTTACTTTTGATAATCATGATGAAAATATTGTGAAGTTGTACTTTAGTTCAGCTGTATAGATTGCTGTGGTGGATGGATGTTATTAAAGTAACATAGTTTGCAAAACTCAATGGTAATCTAGTTTATTAAGAAGTCTATGGCACAACACTAACTGCTGCAGCACTCACAAGCAGCAATGTTTTCTCTGCCCTAATGCACCTCCACTTCCTCTCCCCGTCCTGCACAGCAGGAGCATGGCCAGCCTGGGAGACAAGCAGAGACCCCAAGCAAGGACCCTTGGCCTTGTGGTCTCTGATGCTCTCAGCCCCTGGCCGCTGTGAGCTCTCTGGTGTGTTACTTGTCTGCTTCTTGCCTCAGTTTTAATATTGTCCTCACCTGTGCAAAGTCTCACAGTAAAGGAAGCGATAGAGAGGAAAATTCCAGTGCCTTCAGTCTGTGCCATGTGGGGTCTGGATTGGCTTGTTTTTAGGATTGTCCAGACACCTTGGAGAGGATGAGGGGATATTCCTGCCTGCTGCCAGTAGCTCTGCTGCTTCAGACTTCAGACAGGGTGTTTGCTTGAGGAGGTCCAGGAAGGAGCCCTCCACTCTGGCAGGGAAAGTGAAGGACCTTGAGCAACACTGGGGTTTTACACATGCTAAAAACAAGCCCTGTTCAGTCTCAGAAGAAAGTGATTCCTTTTTGCCTTAAGCATGGTATACACCAAAATGATATGGAAAACCACATGGGTAGAGGTGTGTCTCAGAGGCCCCCTTCTCCTGAATGCAGCTGCACTGGTTGTGTCCAGCTCTGTGATGCTCTGACAACTTTTGGGAGATACAAGTGCGATGTGAGGAGACCAAGGCTGGCAGCACAGCACAGGGATGTTCCTACCCTGGCGTGCCTTTCAGAACCTCTGCCAGCCAGATGGAGGTAGGAGAGCAGCCTCAACAACTCCCAGGATAAAACTTTACCCTGGGTTCTCCCTTTTTTACTTCCAGGGGGGCGCTTTCAGCTGCTATGAACATGACAAAACGGGAAATTCCAGGCCTACGCAAGACAGGCCCAGACTCGGCCCATCCCAGGTTCACCTGGGCAGAGGGTGGCAGGTGAAATGTTGGTCCCAGGCCACATCTGCAGAAGCCTCCCTGGCCCGGAAGGAGCACGGAGCAGGGCAGCTGCCAGCCTCCCCTCACAGCACAGGAGGCTGGGCTGGCAGCCTCCAGGCTGTCGGTTTCATTTCTGATGGGCGGACAAACATGTCAGCGTGGCCAAGGCAAAAGCTAAGGAAGAATGTAGATAGTGTTGCAGCCTGGAGGAGGAACTCTGCTGTCCCATCTGCCTGTACAGGAGCCCTGTGTCACTCAGCTGTGGTCACAGCTTCTGTGAGCAGTGCATCCAGGAGGCGCTCGGTGCCCAGAAGCAGTCCCAGGCCCCATACCCCAGCCCTCTGCATCAGGTCCAGCTGGGCCCATCCTGGAGCTGCACGAGGACTTCCAGCTGTGCAGCAGCATGGAGACGTTTATGGCCACCAATGGGAAATGGGATGAGGTTTGCAAAAGGTTTTTGGTGCAAGGAGCCTTAGTTAGATTTGATTATTTGGCTTCAACTTTTTCAAAAGCTAAAAATTTCCAGCTATGACAAATATTTTGTGAAAACCTGAACTTTCTGATACCATTTTTATTCAAGAGGCATTTGAATCTGGCATGTGTGCCTGTTGAGGCCATTAATGGGTGCTGGAGGTATGAAAACACTGCTAGAGGCAGGTGAGGAGTAACCACAATCCAAGGCACCAAAGCCAGGCTGCAATATCCAGACTGTCTCATCCCTGAAGAACGAGCTCTAACATCACCCCTGAAATCTGCTATCATATGACACAGAATCACAGAATCACAGAATTTCTAGGTTGGAAGAGACCTCAAGATCATCGAGTCCAACCTCTGACCTAACGCTAACAGTCCCCACTAAACCATATCCCTAAGCTCTACATCTAAATGTCTTTTAAAGACTTCCAGGGATGGTGACTCCACCACTTCCCTGGGCAGCCCGTTCCAATGTCTAACAACCCTTTCAGTAAAGAAGTTCTTCCTAAGATCCAGCCTAAAACTCCCCTGGTGCAACTTAAGCCCATTCCCCCTCTTCCTGTCACCAGGCACGTGGGAGAACAGACCAACCCCCACCTCGCTACAGCCTCCTTTAAGGTACCTGTAGAGAGCAATAAGGTCGCCCCTGAGCCTCCTCTTCTCCAGGCTGAACAAGCCCAGCTCCCTCAGCCACTCCTCGTAGGATTTGTTCTCCAGTCCCCTCACCAGCTTCGTCGCCCTTCTCTGGACCCGCTCAAGCACCTCGATGTCCTTCTTGTAGCGAGGGGCCCAAAACTGAACACAGTACTCGAGGTGCGGCCTCACCAGAGCCGAGTACAGGGGGCGATCACCTCTCTAGCCCTGCTGGTCACACTGTTTCTGATACAAGCCAGGATGCTGTTGGCCTTCTTGGCCACCTGAGCACACTGCTGGCTCATATTCAGCCGACTATCAACCAATACTCCCAGGTCCTTCTCTACCAGGCAGCTCTCCAACCACTCATCTCCCAGCCTGTAGCTCTGCTTGGGGTTATTGCACCCCAGGTGCAGGACCCGGCACTTGGCCTTGTTGAACTTCATGCAGCTGACCTCAGCCCATCGGTGCAGCCTATCCAGATCCTCCTGCAGAGCCTTCCTACCCTTGAGCAGATCGACACACGCATCTAGCTTGGTGTCATCTGCAAACTTAATGAGGGTGCACTCAGTGCCCTCGTCCAGATCATTGATGAAGATATTAAAGAGGACTGGCCCCAGTACCGAGCCCTGGGGAACGCCACTAGTGACTGGCCTCCAACTGGACTTGACTCCATTTACCACGACTCTTTGGGCCTGGCTTCCAGCCAGTTTCTAACCCAACGAAGTGTGCGCCAGTCCAAGCCAAGAGCAACCAGTTTCTTGAGGAGAATGCTGTGGGAGACGGTGTCAAAAGCCTTGTTGAAGTCAAGGTAGACCATATCCACAGCCTTGCCCTCATCCACTCAGCACGTCACTTTGTCATAGAAGGAGATCAGGTTTGTCAAGCAGGATCTGCCTTTCATAAACCCATGCTGACTGGGCCTGATCGCCTGCTTGCCCTGCAAGTGCTGCGTGATGACTCTCAAGAGGATCTGCTCCATGAGCTTCCCTGGCACTGAGGTCAAACTGACAGGCCTGTAGTTTCCCGGGTCTGCCCTCCGGCCCTTCTTGTGGATGGGCGTCACGTTTGCTAGCCGCCAGTCAACTGGGACCTCCCCTGATAGCCAGGACTGCTGATAAATGATGGATAGGGGCTTGTCCAGCTCCTCTGCCAGTTCTCTCAGTACCCTTGGGTGGATCCCATCCGGCCCCATCGATTTGTGCACATCCAAGTGCCGTAGCAGGTCATCAACCATTTCTTTGCGGGTAGTGAGGGCCACATCCTGCTCCCCATCCCCTTCCACCAGCTCAGGGTACTGGGTATCCAGAGAACAACCGGTATTACCGCTAAAGACTGAGGCGAAGAAGGCATTAAGCACCTCCGCCTTTTCCTCATCTCTTGTAACTAAGTTTCCCCCTGCATCCAGTAAAGGATGGAGATTCTCCTTAGTCCTCCTTTTTGTGTTGATGTATTTATAAAAACGTTTTTTGTTATCTTTAACGGCAGTAGCCAGATTGAGCTCCAGATGGGCGTTGGCCTTCCTAATTTTGTCCCTGCACAGCCTCGCAAGGATGTTAAGCAAGGAACATAAAAATTTCTAGCTAGAACAGCAATCAAATCAGGAGGAGAAGTCAAGTGTCATCTTGATGCCTAGCTTCTTGGACTATAACTACAATTAGAGAAATACATAAATAGGAAGAGATACCATCCAAAGTAGGGAAAACACTGATATAGTAAACTACCAGAAGTCAAGTTTCTCATGACCTCCCAATAGCTCCGTAGAAAGAACCAGCTGGGATACTACACCATTTTTTTGTGGTTGACCTCAGCTATTTGCACTTTACAGTTTGTACATAACATTATATATATTTTACAGTTTTCTATCCTTTAAATAAAAGTATACAAAAATAAATAAAGTGGGCTTTTCAGTGCTTATCAATACAGTTCTCACATTGCTAGCTGAATTTTGTCTGATATTGTTACTATAGCAGGATAATATTCATACCTCTCTGTTTAATCCAATAGTCTAAACAAACACTTATTTTAGGCTTCTTTCTAAAGCCAGTGTAAAGGTCAGAGACATACCTAATTAATAGGCTCAAAGCTGAAGTGTTGAGCTCCTGAGCCACTTCACCATTTTGTTATCTGTTCATTTAGACCAATACAAAAAGAGGGACTTCTCAGCTGCAAAAGCTGTTCAAAGAGATAAAGACAGATAAATGAGAAAGAGAAGATCCTCAGTGGCATTCAATCCATTGAGGAATCACAACTGGCAGATATTGTCAAACTGAAGAAGGAAACAAGAACAGAAGAGAGGTGAGGCTGTGCAGCATCTTCAATCCTTGCAGAACATCAGACAGCAACCAGACACTTTCCTCTTCCTCAAAGTAAGCAGCTGTTCTTCATGCATATGCCTATTTCTCAGCTAGCTGCCCTTTCTGGAAATCACACTGCAGATTTTTTTTTTTTCAATCCTATTTGTAGGAATTTAAACTGGCACTGAACAGGTATCTTCCTCCTGAAAACATTTGTTCACTTGTTTTCTCAGAGACAAAGACCATAGGGTTCAGTTTATAAGCAGCTGTGTATTTGTGACACTCCCATACTTAAGTTGCAGTGAAGAGTCCTTGGCTACAGAGAAAACTGTCTCAGTTTTGGTTCTGTTTGTGGACAAGCTTAATAGCTTGACAGATTTATTATGCCTTCTCTTGCAAGTGATACATTTAATTTACAGTTTATCACTTCCTAATTGACGTGTGTGTGTCAGCTGTTAATTTGATGGTGCAAAATCATACTGACAATAATTTACAGGTTGACTAGGGATTTTGCTGCAGCAATAAACTCCTCAGTCTTATAAAGGGCTGACTCTAACAGCTACCTGGATTTTAAGATATCATCTCTGTACCTTGCACAAATTAAAGCTGCGTTTGGAC